AACCAATCACAGCAGATGGCCCCGCCCCTCCCTGAGCCTGGTTCTGCTGGAGGTTTCTTCCTCTTAAAAGGGAGTTTTTCCTTCCCACTGTCGCCACAGTGCTGCTCACAGGGGGTCATATGATTGTTGGGTTTTTCTCTGTATGTGTTATTGTAGGGTCGACCTTACAGTATAAAGAGCCTTGAGGCGACTGTTGTGCTTTTGCGCTATATAAATAAAGTTGGATTGAATGCTTGTCGTCATGAATCGATCATGTGATCGTGACCCCGTCCGTGGACAGCAGGAGGTAAAAGTTTAAAAACGGCAGTGTGGACTTTTCTGTGTGATCAGCTGTTAATACGACACAAAGTCAAACAGGAAACTGAGGGTGAAGTCACCGCCACCACATACAGGTCGCCTCAGCAGCAGTGTAATGTTTGGAGGCGGAGCTCTGATGCCGTGTACGCGGTCTGCTGACCCCTAATCACATGACAGCTTTTACTTTGAAATCCAGTTTATCCTGTTTGGAGAGTCACAAAGTGAGCGAGTTCTCGGGGTGAAGAGCGCCCCCGTGTGGTAAAGAGCTGGAACAGCTGAGAGCGCGCCAGAGCGAGTCTCACACACACATTTACATCCATGACACACTGACCTGGACACACTTAGGCTTCTGTGAGATGATTACGTGTGCGCGTGTCACGTTCCCGTACATGCTAACGTTGACCCTGCTCTCTGTCTCCAGGTTGCTGCATTACAAAGAGTTCTGAGGGGCGGAGCTTCGAGCAGGAATCAGACCGTTTCTGTAAATACTGAAACCTGCAGAGGACCAATCAGCTGCAGGAGGCGGAGTTTGTTTTATTGTTTGTATGATGTGATTTCATAAAGACTCAAAGAGGAGCCCTGCAGTTTCCTCCGTTTGTTCCAAACCAGTTTTATGAAACGCTGACGTCGTTCTGAACAGTTTCAAATGAAACTCACTAAAAATCATCAAAATACAAAAATGTCAAAGAAAAAACGTTTTGTGTGGATTTGACGAACTGTCATCGTAGAAATAATGTTTTTGTTTGTCTTAAAAACACAAAGTTTCATTTTGAGTTCAGATAAAATATTTTATTGAAGAAGAATTTAAGAATTTAAGCTGCAGGTTCGTAATGATTGTAAATAAAATAGTCTTGTAGAATCTCATCACAGAAATCACTGATTAGCTCTCATCGTGTAACACACACACACACACACACACACACACACACTGTATAATGGGTCATTACGACACATACAGGTCCGGTTGGAAGGCTGAATTTGTCGATAATGATACTCTGCAGTCTGTCTCATAATTCCTCGCACAGGTGACGTCTCCACTGATCGACTGGTTGGTTTGATTTGATTACATCAAGTGAATTTAGTGATTTTTGAGCTGTTTGGCATCATTGAGCTTCTGTACAGCAAACAGCTGTCTCATGATCAGTCAGCATTGAGGAAGTTGCAGAGGTGACCAATCAGATGACAGGAAGATAACCGTCAGACTGGATTTGCCAGCTCGCTCGCGCTGCTGCAGGAATGTCCTCGGTCCTGTCCGTCCGCCTCCTTCAGGCTGAAGCATGAAAAGCTCGCGTCCCTCCCAAAAACTCGTCAGCGCTCGCTTCCAACCGTCACGTTAACTTGGCCCTCGAGCCAGGCATCACCCAACCTGCTGCCATCACAGTTCCAGAGGCCAAAGGTCAAATTCTTGTTGAAAATAAAGTTTGAAAGATTTTTTTCCTGTTTTATTTAAGGTTTTATTAAATGAATAAATAAATGTTTTCATTTCATGTTTATTTTATAACATGTATTAAATACGATTCTTTACTAATATTTGTTTCATCAGCTATAATTTAGATACATTTTTGTTGTCATTTCATTTAGTTTGGGTTTGTTTGAAGTCTGATGACATGATTGAAGTTATGAGAAGATCATTTTAATGTTTCTTTGTTTTTAAACTTCGGGACTGAAACATTTTTAAAAACCAATAAAAGGATTCGATCTGATCGATCGGATGTTAAAATGCGTCTGAAAGTGGGAGGAGCAACAATCTCACCCCCCAGCTGCATAAACATCCACCCACCAAACTAACCTGACCGCTTTCTGCACCTGTTGGCCCCGCCCACGCTGACATCACAGAGGAGCACTAACCAGAGTTTCAGGATCCAGAAACGGCTGACCTGACAGAGAGGAAGGTAAGAGCTTTTCCCTGTTTCACGTAGAATGATCTGGACTCACAGACTGATCTTAAATCACAGGAACAAAAACGTGCGGGTTTGGCTGTGTCTCTGATTGGTCAGGTGAGCACACCTGTGCAGGTGTTCCTGTGAGTTTGGCCTCCTGAGTCCGAGCTGCAGGTGGAGCCTGCTGTAGGTTTGATTCCAGACGTCTAACCTGACGTGAGACAACAAAATCTTTACAACCAAAGTCGGAACCTGTTTGTAATCGTGTGGCGTCTGAGCACCTGTGGAGAGGCTCACACCTGAGCGCCAGCTTTTACTTTCAGTCCAGACCAGGGCTGCCCAATCCCGGTCCTCGAGAGCTACAGTCCTGCAGCTTTTAGATGCATCCCTACTCCAACACAGCTGAATCAAATGGTTTGATTACCTCTTCAGCATGCCATCGTGTTTGGCAAAGGCCTGATAACAAGCCATTCATTTGATTCAGCTGTGTTGGAGTAGGGATGCATCTAAAAGCTGCAGGACTGTAGATCTCGAGGACCGGGATTGGGCAGCCCTGGTCTGGACTAACACTGGGCTGCAGATACGCTGATGTCTGAAAGTTTGAAGTTTCTGGGTCATGGAGAGGATCTGATTGGCTGCTGTGACGAGGTGTTTCTCTGCTTCCTGTTCCACCTCGTGGCTCACTGGACACGAGCAGCTGTGGGAGGCAGAAGTGAAGCTGTGGTGCTGCCGGGTTAAATCCACACAGTTAGTCTCTGTGTGCTGGTGGAAGAGCGGCGCCTTTACACCGAAACCAACAGCTGCCGGTTTGTCCTGACTGAGTGGGACGCGTTGGTCCTAACCCACCGGTGGCGTGCAGACACCTGACGACGCCCCCCGCCCCAGTGGAGGCGGTGTCAGGCTGGGTGGCTGACCCGCACAGACGCCCCGAGGATGGACTCGGGTTCAGATTTAGCCCAAACCGACCGAGATGTGCAGAGATGCTCTGACGGCTGTCTCAGGATTCAAAATTCAGATGATCTGCAGTCACATGAAGCATTTTTCACTCTCTGCTCGTTTCGACGCTTTGACACAAACAAACCGAACTGACGATCACATTTTTGGACTGTTTTCATTTCTCTGGCGTTCTGCGGGAATCTGTCCGGTTACAGTCATTTAAAATGACTCTGACTTGTTTCCATGTGCTGATCTGATCTCAGCTCTGACTCACTGCGACGCAGAGCCGCTCGTGGTGAAACACGTAACAGGTGTTGATGCGTCTGAATTCTCCGATGTGCGTGCAGCACTCGGGGCACGCGCAGCCTTTTATCGGTCGCGTCCACGCTCCCACATGTTTTTACTCGGCTCTCACTTCCTGTTCTGGAAATAATGGAGGAAATTACATGGTCTCGAGTGGGGGGTTATTAAGTCGATTCGGCACAAACATGTAAACACAGAGCGTGGATCGTCCACAGACGCCGTTTCTGAGCTGCAGGTTTCATCACTCTGACCAACACTGACTGAACCAGCAGCAGAAGATCAAACTACGCTTCATGTTTGATAAACATCATCATCATCACTTCCCTCTGACTCTGGCTGTTGCGTCCTGCACAGCTCGCTCTCTCTGCACTCAGAGACCATCAAATCTGCATTATTCTCTGCTGCTGTGTTCAGTGCTGTCGGCCTCTGACAGCAAAGCCTCATCTCTGCTGTTCACACTGAACAAATGTGAACTTCAACGATTGCTCAGCTGTGTCTGTGACTCTTCTTCACTTCAGCAGCATCAGCTCATCTTCACATGTTGATTCATGGTTTTATTTTAAATGGTAAATGGCCTGTGTTTGTATAGCACTTTACACCACATCCAGTCATCCACACATTCACACACTGGTGATGGAAAGCCACAGCCACCCTGGGGCGCACTGACAGAGGCGAGGCTGCACTGGCGCCACCGGGCCCTCTGACCACCACCAGTAGGCAGCGGGTGAAGTGTCTTCGGGCCTCGAACTGGCAACCTTCCGAATACAAGGCGAACTCCCACCTCTTGAGCCACGATCGCCCCAGGTTTAAGGTTATCTGCTTTAAAAAGCCAGGCCAGGAAACTCTTCTTCATGTGTTTCTGCTTTAGCCTCAGTGACTTTGACACAAAGGCCTCTGCTGTGATGCTCACACCTCTGATCAAGTCTCACAGTGTCAGCTTGGTTTTATACACAGACACAAAATATGGAGATGAACTGATAACTGATCAGAATTAGAATATTTCTGACTGACTGAGTGAAAACTGAATCGAATCAAAGTGAATCGATACCCAGCCCTGGCCTCGAGGGTCAGCTGTGGTAAACAGCCCTGTGATTGGCTGGTGACCTGTGCAGGTGTGGCTAAGAACAGGTGGGCCGTTTAAGTCCATCCTGGTGCTGCTTCATCATCAGTGGTTTGTTTCTCTGAGGTGAGCAGGTGTGGGCTTTATACTTCAGACGTCATGCGGACGATTTGGTTTTTATCAGGATTCCTCCGAAACTTGCCGATGGATTTGTTTTACATGTTCCGGAGACGATGAACTTTGTCTGGCTCTGGATCAGGGAATTTTTGGAAGCGTTCTTTCAGACAGAGACTGGACTTTTGGATCAGCTGCTCTCTGAATGTTTTACAGTGTAGATGTGCAGATGTTTCCAGATGTTGGCGGAGCGATGCTTTGATCCTGACGGGAATGAAATCAGCTGAAGCTCAGAGTGAAGATGAGTTTGTTTGAAATGATCTGATCACAGATGAATCGCCTCAGGCTCGCTGCTCGGCCTCTGATGAAGAGGAGTGGTGCGTCCTCGCTTTGAGAGTGATGAAGGTGAGAGGTCATCCTCTGGCTGAAGCCCCACCAACTTCTGCCTCCAGGGTGGAGCTGCTCGAACAAGCCGGAGGACCAGAACGGTTGATGCTGTTCGTCTGGAAAAGGGCACATCCAGACAAGCAGCATCAACCTTTCGGGATTTCCTTACCTGGATGACTGTGCATGAACACAAACTGGAGGATCGCGGTGACGCTGCAGCTGAGGCGCTCGTGCTGCTATCAGAACCAGTTCCTCCAGCGCAGTGACACTGATTAAACCTGCTGCCGATCTCCTGTGACAATCCAAACTCAGACGTCACGGAGGAAACGGGCCGAGGCGCAGCAGCCCACCCGACTCGCTCGGCTGCCTCTCCATCAGCATCCAGAGCGTCCAGTTCAGTGGGAGCTCACGCAGCGTGATGCTGCAGGGCGCCGAGGCCATGCCTCTCCTCGCAGACACGCCTCTGCTTTACTCTGAACTGCAGTTTCACGTGTCGGCTTAAAAACACAGTTTTAATCTTTTAAGGCCTGGAAGCTTCACCTGTGACCTCACGGGAACACAAAGGAGCAGGTCCCTTTAAACAGCTGGCCCCGCCCTCTCCACTTGTCCAGGCCTGAGCAGGTGTGCCATGTCTGTCCCCGGGCTCTGACTTATTGCTGGTATTTCTGGGTCAGAGTTCAGTGCAGTTTGGCGTGGGCATCCTGCAGGTCTGAGCAGATAAACATCGCCTCCACATCCTCCGCCCGCTCCACCATCGCTTCACCGCAACGCTGCTTCATGGCCACCAACCTGACACCGCTGGAAAGCCGGGTTATTGATATGCAGCAGCATCTGTGGGTGGATTTGATGATTGAAGAGCGTCGAACACCAGCAGCCTGACACCACCTGCTCTGTGTCACAGCTGTGGGAGACGCCCACAGACTCGGGTCTGCTGCTGCGCCCACAGGTCTGGTTGGTGGCCATGAAGCATCGTCACGGTGAAGCGATGGTGAAGCAAACCCAGATGTTCTGACTGAAGTTTATCAGTCAGAACATCTGGGTCGCCGGGCCGTGACGCTCTGAAAGGTTACAGATGTTAAAGCGCCTGATCCTAAACCCCGCCTCCTCTGTGTCCTCCTCCAGGAGCAGCACGATGGCGGAGTCGGCGGAGCTGTTCACAGAGCAGGAGCTCACCTGCTCCATCTGCCTCGACCTGTTCACCGACCCCGTCTCCACCCCCTGCGGACATAACTTCTGCCAGGTGAGTCCACCTGCAGGTGTGAGCACAGGGGGCGCTGTGCGTGGAAGCTGCTGCTGAAGGTTCACCCAGCTGTAATGATCAGGAAACGTAAACAAATCTGTGATCATTGACGTGTTTCTGCTGCTCGGCACGTCCTGAAATGCTTCATTTGTACAAGCTGCTCTCGATTCTGAGTGTTGTTGTTGTTACTATGACGACGATGGTGTTGATTAGCTGCTGTTTTTGGCAGGTCAGGTATTCGTCCTGCTTTACAGCCTTTTAAGAACTAACCAATCACAGGGTCTGCAGCAGTGTTAGTAATGCAAACAGAAAACTACCTGGGGGTGCGTTCAGGTGCAGTGGGTTACTGGTGCGTCCTGTGCCCGCAGGCGTGTATCGGTGGTTACTGGGCGTCCAGTGCCGTGTCCACTTGTCCACTGTGCAAACATCAGTTTGAAGGACGTCCTCAGCTCAGCATCAACAAAGTCTTCGCTCAGATCGCAGAAAAGTACAAACAGACTCACTATGCACCGTTACCGTCGCCCTTCGGTAATGGGGCGCCCGGCGCCGCGATGGCAGGCGCCATGAACACCAACCCCTTCCTGACGCCTGAGCCATCAGTAGCTCAGGCGAACGGGGACGTAGTGTGGTGCGACGTTTGTACGGGAATCAAACAGCCCGCCGTCAGCTCCTGTCTCACCTGCACCGCCTCCTACTGCACTGAGCACGTGCAGCCACATCACACCACGCCATTCTACGCCAAACACCCCCTGATGGACCCCCAGGAGGCCCTGAGGGGCCGCACCTGCTCCGTCCACCGGCGCCTGATGGAGGTATTTATTTTTCTCTATGATTGCTTGATTTGATGTTTATGTAACATTTAAATATTTGAATGTTTTTTTATTTTAAAATGGTCAGTTTCAGATGTTACAATAATTTTTTTATATTTTGAACAAATTCAAAAATAATTAGTTTTATTTTAATAACTGGTTTTATTTTATCATGTAAGTAAAACTTTTTCATATCAGTTCATGTTCTGCATTGATGAGCGGCTCACCTGTGCAGGTGTACTGCAGGACGTGTGAGAGCTGCATCTGTGCCATCTGCGTGCTGGAGGAACATCGGATGCATAAAACTGTCTCCGTGCAAACTGAGAGGCTCAGCAAGCAGGTAAAATATCCCAGATTATTCCCGGGAACGCCAATTATTAAAGTAATTCGATTCTGTTTTTTTATTTCATCTCATTTTGGTTGACTGTTATGTTTGTTAATGCTGCTCATTACAATTCGTCATTTAATTTATTATTACATTTATTATTTGTTGTAAATTTTATTTGAAATTAATGAATTTTTGCAATTCTTTTTTTTTTTTTGTTTCTTTTTGATGAAAAACAAAGATTTTAAAATGATGAAAAAACATTCTGGAATGAAAATAAATCCTTGGAGATGGATACAAAAAGTAAATTCATCGTTTGGTCCAAAGTGATTTTTGTTGTGGCTCTTTGACTCGACCGTGTCCGCCTGCCTCTTCAGAAACAGGTGTCCAGGACGGAGCAGGAGATCCTGAACCGGATCAAGGAGAAGGAGATCCGTGTGACGGAGCTGAAGAAGAAGCTGGACAGCCTGCAGGTGACTCACCTGTTTGCTCCTTATGTAAAAACCTGGCGGGGCGGGTGGAGCCTGTGGAAGACGATGGCGTTGTCGCTCTCTTCTCACCAAACATCTGAACCCGTCTGTGTTTCAGAGCTATGCTGACAGAGAGCGCAGCGAGGTTGAACACCTGCTGAATGACCTGTCCGGCTCGTTGGACCAGATCCGGTCTCATGTGGTGGGCGGGATCGTGACCCAGCTGGATACTGTGATGACAAAGGGGGAGGGGATGGTGAACCGCCTGGAGGAGGAGCTTAGCCAGCTGACAGAGAGGAGAGCCGCGCTGGAGGCGCAGGCTACCAGTCAAGATCACATCGCCTTCCTGAAGGTGAGGACGCCTGCAGCCACCGATCCCAGAATCACAACAGAGGCCTGCTTCATCACTCCTCTTCATCACCCCTCTTCCTCCCTCAGACATACGAGGCGACCACGGCTCCTCTGGCCGAGGATCTGCAGGCCCAGGCGGATGACGACTCGCAGCTGGTGCTCCACTTCCATCTTGGCGAGGTGAAGCTCGCTTTGTCCGAGGTCAAGGAAAAGATGGAGGAGATCCGGACCGGGGAGATCCGCTCGCGAGGACTGCGAGGACCCCGAGGATCCCGAGCGGACTCCTGTGAGTTCCAGATGTTACAGCACAGTCTGCACATGTTGGGTTCCAGATGTTTCCTCTGAGTCGTTTCTTTCACCTGTTTCAGTTTCAGCCGGTGACATGATGGCGGCCGAGAGCATGCTCAGTCTGAGAGCCAGCACGGCCAGTCTCAGGAAGAGCCAGTGGTCCCTGAAAGGTGAGAGGTCAGAGGTCACTTCCTGTATCTACCTGCAGGTGTGCCACAGTCCGATCATTCCAAGCTCCTCTGTGGAGCCCTGCAATAAAGAGTGACTCTATTCTACTCTATTCTCCTTACTGAGGGAAGAATTTATCCAGTCAGAATAAGCCAGAGAAGCGAGCTCCGTCAGCAGCAGTTACGGCCACGGTGTAGGATGGAGCGCTGTTGCAGACACTCAAGACACCACCCACTAAAACACACGCTGATTATAAATGTACATTATCATCACCTCACTGCACTCTGTGTACATATGAAAAAGGAAACTATGGAGCGGTTCTTATATAGCCCTGGTCTACTCTGAGCACTCAGCGCTTCCCGTCCTCACACGTGCACACATGTGGACATGAGTCCACACATGGACACTCTGATGGGGTCAGTATCATGCCCAGTGATATTTGGCACGATTGAACCACAAACCTTCAGATCAGCAGGTGTGCATGCGCAGTATTTTGGCTCTTTTTGTACTTCACTTTTCTTCCTGTGCCCTGTGAATGTCCACAGTGTCTCTGTCTCTGCTGTGGGAACATGTTGCTTACCTCGACAGGTTGACTTGTTTAGGGAAGTGTTGCTCATCCCACAATTTCTTATGTTGAGGAAATGAGTTACAAGTTGCGGGGCTTTTATTGTGAAAGAATAACTGAGTGTTTTCCTGTCTACTTTCAGACCTAAAGAAGAGCAAGCAGGTGTCAGGTACGTACCTGTGTGAGTGTGCAGCAGACATGGATGCTCACCGTCAGCCTTTCAGACACCGATAACGAAATTATGAATCAAATCAAAGATGACAGATTTTTTTAAATGCTGGTCGTTTTTAAACGACACAAAGATGAAGTGAAAGGATAAAAACACTGAGTTGTTAGAGAAGCTGTAGCGGTGGGAGGTTTGTGAAGAGATGAGAGCTTGTTTCAGATTGCTGATGAAATGTGTTCGTTTGTTGTTGCAGGATACAAGAAGGCCCGACTCTACATGGGTGAGGTTTTCAGCGTTTTGGTTTCTGGGTGATTCGGTTGATGCAGGTCGGGTTTGGTTATAACTGCATTCACACAGACAGACAGCTGCCAGCTAATGCTGGGTAACATCCAAGTAAAACACTCTGGCTCCGCCCCCCAGACGCTCTTTTACCACAGTAACCTCACAGCAGCCACGTTACTGGTCACATGATCTCATTAAACAGCCTAAACACGGTCCAGAGGTCCAGCTCAGGTGAAGCTAGCCACCAGTGTCATCATCCACCTTTCAGTCACAGAGGCCACACCCCCTAATAAAGCACATTTTAAATGATACACAAACAGTTTCAGGCTGTAAACGTTTGTTTCTGCTGTAAGTTTGAACATGGGGGCTGACTCACTGCTGCCTCTACTGGAGGAACTGCAGGTTTAGCCTCATGGTGAGGTCTTCACATTATATATTTCTAAGCAAAGATACGTAATAGTGCTTCATTGGATTCAGCGTTGTTACATATATTTGATTTCTGGACTGTAGAGGAGCTTTGCATGATTCACAGTTCAAAATAATCCTCCTGTATCAGATACTGGGCCTCAGCGCAGGTCCTGTCTTCATCCTCTGAACGTTGTGATTGGCTGCCCTTCATAATCGTCAGATAGGTGCAGCTCATGTGGTAGAATCGACCATAAAGGGGATGTGCCCTCGCTACCTTCAGATTCACAGGGTTACTGAAGCTGACTCTGAGATCACTGATATGAAACGCCAAGGCTCAAACAGGGGAAGTCCACCTTTACTCATCCTGTGGTGAGGTGTCGGGATCGTCCTGGATCGAGTTCTTCAGCCATTGTGATGACTATTTCAGCCTCCAGGGGACCTTGCTGTTATGTTTACCTGTGCTTGTTGCTTCCAGAGGACGTGACGCTGAACCCGGTGACGGCGTATCCCTTCCTGATCCTGTCCGAGGACCGTAAGCAGGTGAAGAGAGGAGAGAAGCTGCAGTTCTACAGAAACAGCCCGCACAGGTTCGACGTCTGGTCCTGCGTCCTCGCCAAGGAGGGATTCAGCTCCGGGCGCCACTACTGGGAGGTCAGGACCCAACCGGCCTTGGGACTGGGTTCAGTAATGGCTAGCAGGATCCAAGTCTGATCTCAGGTGTGTTTTTCAGGTGTGCGTCGGGGAGAATAAAGACTGGAAGCTGGGCGTGGTCAGCGAGTCGGCTCAGAGGAAGGGTCTGTTCGATATGTGCCCGTCTCACGGATACTACGCCATCTGGTGGAGCAGCAGCCAGCTGAGGGCGCTCACCACGCCGCCGCTCACCAAGGTCCAGTTCACGTTTCACATGCACTTATGTACGGAAGGCCACTGGTGCCGCAAGAAAGCAGCCACTCAGACTTAAACATTATTTTGGTCAGCGTGACTTTAACATAGAAAATCTCTAAATTTAATTGAAATAAGTTGGCGCAAAAAGTACCCAAAATCCATCATTTCCACACATTTAATAACTTTAAAATCTGATGAAATTAATTCTATTGTGTGTTAATGACAAAATTTTAAGGCAAGGATGCAAACAGGCCCATCCTGTAAAGCTCAATAAAAAAATACAAATTAAAATTCACACCAAAAAGTCAGCGTGTTGAAAAACTTAAATCTAAAAAGTGATTCTTCATTTTCAATCCGTCATTTATGTTTTTAATGCAACAGTTAAACTTTGAGTCCTTTCATGAATACAAAAACACCACAGTGTCTTTTTGGCACCAGTGGGCTTCCACACCTTGAGGCTTCTTGACAGTTTGCAACTTCTGTCGACTTGTCTTAATCGCATTCTGTTTGCGTCTCACCTGCAGGTCAAAGGTCACCACCCCAAGCTGCGACAGGTGGGTGTGTTCCTGGACATGGAGGAGGGTCAGGTGTCCCTTTACAACGTCAAGTCGGGCTCAGAGATCTACAGCTTCCACACATCCACTGAGTTCACCGAGAGGATGTTTCCTCTGCTGGGGACCGGAGACAAAGAAGTCCCCCTGATCCTCCTCACCACGCTGCAGCACCCGGCCTGAGGGACTGGGACCAGAACCGGGACCAACCAGAGGGTCAATGCTGAGCGAACTAAGAGCAGAGGAACTGCAGGTGGAGTCGAATCGTCCTCACGTTGATCTCCAGACTCTGCTGTGAGACTTGAAACAACAAAGGATGTTTGTCTCGTTTTGTCCCCGTTAGATCCTGACAGGCGATGGTTTTGTAATATTGATCACTGAAGAACGATGTGCTCTTACAGCCAGAGCTGCTTCTTAAATTTGTAAATATGGTCATAAAAATACATCAAATGAATCGAGGGAACCAACTTTTTTTTTTAACAATTAAAATGATACAAAGAAGTTTTCACTTTGTGTAACCAGTTTGTTTTTGTATAACCAGTTTGTTTTTGTAACGCTGTGAAACTAAAAGATTAGTAACACTAAACCTTTACTGAGATTTTGTGAAACACTAAACATGAAATTATTAAACTCAAAGCAAATATTTGATGTCATGAATATGTCACGTTTAATGTAACAGCTTATCGAACAATAGTTAAATTCTGTTTTCATATTTTTTCTAAATGTGTTGCCTTTTTTTGGCAACATATTGGCAACCTTCTTTTCGGGGGGCGGGCGCAGCAGCTTCTAGTGGACGTCAGAGGAACTGCAGCCATGGTGATGGTTAATAACTGACAGTTAAATTATTTTATGAAAAACAAACGTTTCAGCGTGACCTCGGATTTTTGCCAGACGTCCGTGTACTGTAAAGCTTGTTTTTCCAGTAGATTCTGAGAAGTGTCGAATAATGTTGGAAATAAAAGTGAACTTGTTAAATAAAGAAAAGAAAAATTGAGGTTGTTGACGTGGGTTTTTTTTCCCTTCTTTTTTTATTCATGTTGCTGAAACACAAACTTACTGTGATCAAAGGTCAAGGTTCAGATCTGGGATCACACCACAATCGCAAAATCCCTCCATGCGTCCAGACCCGACCCTCACATCACAGCTCGGATCAGAAACTCTTGGTTTCATTTCTTCATTTTCACCTTCTGATTGGTTTTACTTCCTGCTGCTGACCGCCATTGCTCCAGCTTGTTTCTCTGATGTGGGACGAGCTCAGGACCAGTCACATGCTTTTAAACAATGTATTCCTGACACTCGTTATTAGATTAAAAGAAACAGGTAACGCACGCTCGCTGCACGAGTCCATGGTTGTCATTGGTGACGCTGAAACAGAAATTATGTCCCTGTTTAAACCTTTCACATGTCAAATGTCTGCTGCGTGCTCCGACCTGCCAGGCAGTCCGACAACTTCCTAAAAGCAGGTTATTAGCTCAGTGCCCCCTACTGTCCCACCCATGTTACTACAGCTCCAGCTCCTGGTCGTAACGAGCTCACTGAAACTGAGCGTGGTGCTGAAACGGGACGCCAGGGCCGCTGTCTCTCCAAGCTCAGCTGATTACCGTAGGGCAGGGTCTCAGGGTGCTGAGGCGTCTGCTCAGGTATTAACATCAGCACAGAAAATATGCACCACGAGCTTCATGCTTCATGTTATCCTTACACCACCGAGCACCGATGCGCAGAGCCCGCCGCAGAGCTCCCCGCAGAGCCTTACCAGACCATCTTTAAGCTCCTCCCCCCACACTGGTGATATCATCTGTGGCGATCGAGGACGGAAGTGACGTCAGCACAGCTCTACTCATTCAACTTCATATTTTATTTAACATAAATCATACTGCAGTCAGTGTGAACAGCCGGGGTTTCAATATACACAATAGAATCGTAACATTTTAACCCCCTCCCCCTTAACCCCACCCACATCCCCCCCAAATGAAAATCGACCCCCCCTCCCCCTGTAACCCTGCCCCCAGACCTACAAGCCTTTAAACATAACCCTCCCACCCTATAACAGCCCCACCCATCTCACGCAGCTCCGCCCACCAACCCTGTCTTCATGTTTCCATCTAGCAGCGAACTCCAAACTTCTCCATCCGCCACACCTGCAGAGCGTCATGTGACCACCTTAAGCACAATGGCACTAACAAGCCCCTCACATAAAATCAAGCTCCACCTCCACACCACCCGTGGAGTAACAAGCCCCTCCCTCCAGTGTAGGCACACACAAAAATCAAAAACATGTAGCATCTCCTAGCATTGCTAACAGACTCCGCCCACTCCCTCAAGCCACTCCCCCTTTGCTGGAGAAGAAAAAAATAAAAAATGGAGCATGTGCTTAAGGCCCCTCTCCTACAAGCCCCTCCCCTTGTGCTGACATTATCATTACACCTGCAGGTGCAGCAGATGGCTTTAAGGCTCCGCCTACAGGTGGTCACAAGCGCCGCCCACAAGTGTCCATACAACACTGAAGCTGCTAGGGTTTGGAGTTTGCTGCTAGTGGACTTGCATGTAACCAACAAGGGGGCGGGTCCATTCTAACCGCCCGTCTGATGTCAGGCTCCCTCGCCAAAAACTCGAAAACTAACAAAAAGAAAAAAACAAAATCACATGAGTATCATCATCACCAGCATCATGGCCATCACTGACCACCCTGCCCTCCCCCTCCCCCGTCCATCATCATCATCATCGGCGGCCGTCTGCTGGCAGCCATCTTTTTGAGTCCATTCAGGTGTGTGTTGTGTGTCGGCGTCCCGCGGCGGCATGTCGACGGTTCAATGCTGCGTCTCAGAAGTTAAACAGAGAGAAACAGGAGGGGAGGGAGGAGGGCAGAGGGGGAGGATGAGGTTCTTCTTCTTTTGTTTTGAAACAGAAAAGCGTCTTCTGGTGTGCTGCTTCCTGTCGCCGCAGCTCCTGCTTCAGCCAACGAGCAGGACCGGGGAGGAGGGGGAGGAAAAGTAGTGAAGGTGGTGGGAGGGGGGAGGTGGGATGGGAGGGAGCTCAGAGGATGATGGGACGCTAAGTTATTTAAGACATCTCTCAAAGTAGGTGGCGCCCACGTAGCCGCCCCTCAGGGAGCGATGGACATTCTGCTCAAAGAGCCGCCGGTTCGTCTGCAGGACCTCCGCCGCCTCCTTGTTCAGAGGATCCTCTGGGTTTGGCTCCTGCGGGGGGAGACGGGGAAGCAAAAGGCGACAACGGTCGTTAAATGTCTCGTTACAAAACGTTCACCAGCTGAGGGCAGCACTGAGCCGCAGAAGAGAAAACATGCGCACTCACTAGAAATAGATACTGTAGGCCGTAGATGATGGAGTTTATTGTCAGCACGGGCTTCCAGTCCTCTCTGTGGAGAAGAAGGAACAGGTGAGCAGCAGAAGCCCTCACCTGGAAACGCTCACCTGTCTGACCTCAGTGTGACCTCAAGTTTGATTTTAAGAACGCACACACCTTAGGATGTTTAGGCAGACGTTGCCCTCCAGGTCGATGTTGGGGTGATACACCATCGTCTCACATTTTACCTTTGGGGGGTCGTGGGGGTAACCCTGTCCTACCTGAAACACACACACACTGTCAGATCACCTGCTTCTTACCGAGCCCCCGGCGATGACCCTCGAAATGTCGCCGGACCCTCTGAGCTGAGATTAGATTAGGAGCCTCTACAGGTGAGGTCAGAAGTCTCCGCCAATCACAGGCGTGGATGTCAGGATGGAACGACTGTACAGCAAACATCAAAGGAGTTGGAAGAACAGGTCTGTGAAGACGTTTCATCCCAGAAGCTTCTCCGTCACAGACTTTAGTGGGAGTGGCCCTAAGAGTATTCATCATGTGACTCATCACAGCCAAGGTGTGAACAAGGCGTGGGTGATTATCAGCAGATGTCTTGGAACCATTGTGAGACTTTGCCCCACCCCATCATGTGACCCACTGAGGTCACCTGATGCAGGTTGTGAGTGGGCGTCAGGGGTCTGGGAAGGATCTCAGACCAGTGTAGGTGGCGAATGTGAACACTGGCATCCTGGATAGAGTGAGCTTTGACCTTTAGATGCAGATGAGTGTTTTGCTTTTAGAGCTGAAGAAGCTTGCTGGATGAGACGAAACGTCTTCAACAACCAAACACGTCTGCTGGCTTTCTTCCCGAGCTCCTCGGACTTCCCTGAGCTGAATGATGTACAGCAAACTCCTTCAATGACTCTAAAGAACAAGTTTGCATTTGCTTTTCTCTGATCCACACAGGCCCAGATACACAGACATCTTTTATTAAGCGAGTTTTATTTTGACACGGTCAGGTTATTCAGATGTGTCACCACTTTGGCCTGGAAGAAGGCCCAAACTGCCCCCCTTCAGATGACACCACATTGGTTGGGATGTTCAGGAACCACCGAGACTCAAGCCTGCCATGACCCACAGCGAAGCCAGTTTCACATCGCCACGGACCGAGAGGGTCCCAACCAAGAAAGAAGCACCTGCTCCAAAATCAAAACCTTTAAGGTGGATTAAAACGTGTACCTGCCCACATGGATGAACCAAATGCCTCCAGGAGAAGAGTCTGATGGTCAGAGACAAAGACTGAGCTGTGTGGCCAAAGGTTAGTGGTGGTGTGTTCATTTATTGGCCCTGTGTGGAGCAGGGAAACGCCAACACTAATTCAAACCTGTTTTTTTAGAGTTTGCTGTACAGTCACTTCAGCCTGGAACAAGAACATCCAGGCTCATGACGACTGACCACAGCTACCAGTCGCCAATGGTGACCGTCCACCCCGATCCTGAAATATAAAAACTATCATTTAAATGCATTAAAATGAGCCACGCGCTTATCAAAACGTCTCTTTGCCTTCCTGTAAATCATCAGCGACGAGCCTCCTCTCCTGACCCCCACTGGCGTTCCTACCGGCCTGCAGCCGCCACCGCAAGAAGTCTGCAGGCGGGCCAGCAGGAAGACCAGGTGGACACGGGAGACCTGTAGGACCGTGGAACGTCACACAAGTCTGTCAGTGATTATGATGAATCCACCTGCTAGTCCTTTACGGGCTCACCTGCAGAAACCTCAGGACTTCTTACAGCTCAACCACGAGGACATCTAAACACTGCGTGAAAGGCAGCACCTGATTTATAACACCAGAGAAAATGAGAGCCTCGTGGAGAAAACGGAAGAAAAAAGTGATTTTATCATCGCTGCAAGCCAAATTCATAAATAAAGTGATAATTAAATAATGGAGCTACATTAGTGAGCCTCTTATTGATGTTCTCAGGGCGCTGTGGGCCGGACTTTACACAGGTGAGACCTGGTGTTAGACCAGTGGAGGCTGCTGAGGGTCAGACTGTTTCAGGATTATTTCAGCATGAAGAGCCGAGGGTGGAGCCGAGGGTGGAGCAGAGAGAGAGACGGCTGTTTCTCACCTTAAAGCTGAAGACAAACTTTCCTCCTTTGTAAAAACCCTGAGAGACAAAAAGACAAACAGAGGCAGACTTGTTAGCTCAGCATCATCTTCATCTCCCGATTCAGCCCCTCATCCTCACTCTGTACATCCTGAGGTTTCATACACCTGTGTGCCACATGAGTGGGAACAATCGGCTCTGGTGCAGCAGTGTCTGAAACTGGTCCTGCGCTCACAGGTGGAGGTGTTTCACTGCTTTTACAGACAGCACTGCTCGTGTTACTGACGCACACCTGCAGCTCTCACAGGTGTTTGTCCTCAAAGTCAGAGAGGAATAAAGTTTTTATGCAATCACGTCTCTGAATGAAACGCACACACGCACCTCGTCTGGTGAAATGATGAGTCTGAAGTTGAGGAGGTCGTCATCATCGGGGAAGTTGATCTCACACGTCTTTGGTAAGTTCAACTCATTGATGTCTGAAAAACAAACACAGGCAGGTGTTACTGATTCTGATTCGTCCTCGGGAATCAAAGACGTCCTTCATCTCTTCTTCTTTCACCTTTCAGAGGCTCATGAAGACATCTGGAGCTCTAAATACCTTGTCTGTATGCTAGGACCTGTGAAAAAGCAGTGCTGACACGAAGGTCTCTGAACTGTCCCAAAAGACTTAAAAATCCAGAACAACATCTGGAACACTTTCAGCTAGAACTGGAACCTTCTCCAAGACCTCCTTCAGCATTTCTCAATCTCACCTTGGTATTTAAGGACTTCTAAAACCTCTGGACCTCTTTAAATATTCTTAAAAATCTCCACATATTGTGTTCTTTAGGACGTCAAAAATGTTATGTCATCATCTCCAAAATCTCAATAACCTCCAGAGAAGAACACAAACCTCCTTAATCAACTTAGATGAGCATCAATGAGAAATAACGGCCTAGACCCACGAGGTAAAGAAATAAAAGGACCATTATGAAACAAATCTAATCAACTTTTATGTGTCAAAACGTTTTTGCCAAAATGTGGAAGAACAACTTCCAAATGTAAAAAACCCTGATCTTGTCGCAGGTTTAGGGGGTGACTCTGAAACCACTGGATACCTTCTTGTTGTTTAAGGCACCAAAACATCTGGACCATCTTCAGAACTGCTTTGATCCCGTGTGGTGGGTCAGAGCGGGCCCAGGTGGTCACTCAGGTCTGCTAAACACAGGTTGGAACCCAGACCCACGGGCCTACAGATCCCCTGAGGACCCCAAACCTCTGCAACCCCATGAATCGCTGAGATTCAAATTGTCATTCATCAGGTGGGTGGAGGCAAGAAGAAGTAGGTGGTTGGTGTCAGGAACACGTGCTTTTTCTTGGACACTTGCTGGGGCATCACCGCCCAGCCTTTTGGCCTGTGTCACTCCTGCTTGGGTTATGCTCCAGATAAGAGACCAAAAGGTATGAAACCACCGACAACCAGCCAATCAGATCCATGGAAACCACAGAGCCCATTCCAGCAGATCACTTAGAAGTTGAGAAGGGTTTCAGACCTGTCCAGGTCAGATGCTGCAAAGTAGACAGATAGAGCTGATAATTCAGACAGATCCTGATAAGGTGAGCTGGCCTCTGAGAATAGGGACCTGAGGCTGTTCTCCTATTGGTCACCCACACCAGGTGACTCACAAGGCGTCTGACAGACAGGCAGGACCCTCAGAGTCTACTGTGATCCACCACACAGGTTCAGCCTGGTTCTAACCCTGCAGTCTAAGCCGGGCTCTGATCTGCGTTCACCTGTCGCCCTGCAGCCCCTCGGGTCGACCTGCACCTGAGGAGGATAGAGGGTCAGGAAGGTGGGCGCTGTGCTCAGGTGTTCCACTGAGTCCCTGTGTTCCTAACTCACCTGGTGTTAGGTAGAAGTGGACCCCGCGGAACTGACACAGCAGTTAGAGGCTAGCTGCCGTTAGCCGTCAGTGTTTACGGCTGTCCGGCGTTAGCTGTTAGCAGCTGTGTTCCGGGTTAGTGTTGTTAGCTGCTAGCTGCTGCTAACTGCGTGCTAACACCTTTAGCCTGCGTTTTGTTTTCATGTAGCACAGCCGGGCTAGCAGCCGTAGCTAACACCAGCTTCAGCCGCAGTTAGTCGGCCAGCCGTTAGCCCGAGTGAGCTACAGCAACACCGGGTCTGGGTTTGAGAGCCCTGGGTCCCGTGGGTTCGGTGTCGGCCGGTGGGTAACTCTCGGCTAACAGAGCCTACCTTTCTGTATTCGGAGCTGGGCCGCGCTGGCTTTCTTGCCCCCGGCTCCGGTTCTGTTTCCTCCAGCAGATTCCTCGTCTTTCTTCTGCTGCTTCAGGGAAAAGAGCTTAATCATCTTCAGTTATTTGACACACGAGGCGTCCCTTCTGTGAGCCGTCAGCGGGTCTGAGAGGGTCTGAGAGCGGGGTGGTTTCCCAACAGCACCGTGATGTGAATGGAGCCGGTGCGTCTGATCACGGAGGCAGGAGGAGCTAGCAGCGGAGCTAGCAGCGAGCTGGCTAGCGGGAGGGAGGGGAGGAGAGGAGGGGGGTTGAGCGCGCGCGCGCATGTGTGTGTGTGTTGGTCTGAAACACGTGAAAGTCCACTGGTGCCAGAAGAAAACAATCGCGAGATGGTCTGGGGGCTGCTGGAAAGAGTGAGGGGGGCACAGGCAGGTAAACCCAGCTTTAAAAACTCTGGGTTCAAGAAAAGTGATGAAAAGCACCTGAACGTGAGTTTGAAGGTGTTTGTGATGAACAGCTGTCTCTTCAGTGAGGGAGGAGAGTGTGCTCAGCACCTCCGGCCTCCGTGCTGGTGTTCCAGTTCAGCCCGGTGCAGATGTGGAGTGTAGGCTTCCTGTCTCAGGACAGGTGCTCCATGCAGTTACCCTCTTCCTTCAGAAGCTGTAGGGGTCATGACCCAAAGCTGAAGCTGTTCAAGGCAGACAGGAATTCAGCTTTACAAAAATAAAACTTGTTTTTCGTGCAGTCTTCTCGTATTAAATCAGAGTCCCATAACTGTATGCCTGTCAGTACAGGTGGGGTCTATATGGCAGCACAGGGCGCTGAAGGTGGAATTTAAAACATTGACCTTTAACCTTCTGCTGTGAAGACTGGTTTTTGCTGACAGTTTGGATCCAGGTGGATGTGACCAAGAAAGCGCAGGTAGACTAAAAACACTGCAAATAAAAAAACAGCAGTGTACTGATTCAGTGTAGTCTGCAGTTATCACAGCGAGGAGTCTCAGCATCCGTGAGTTATGCTTTACTATTATCCATCCCAGACCTCTACAAACTCGAGACCAAATAAACGCAGTCGGGTCAGCTTCAGCAAACATCAGCATGAATCCCATTTTTATGGTAGGAAATGTCCAGCTGGCCGTCACTCAGTCAGAACACCGTCAGCAGAGCTCGTCGTCACAGACGTGAACCTTCAGGTTTGAGCTGGAGCTCAGATCAAAGATCCACTTTCAGCAGAGCCACTCTGCCCTCTGAGGAAATGCTTATACCCAAGTGTCTGAACCCACAGAGGAAAGTCACTCATGTTTACAGAGGAGAACAGTACTCCACACATCGCATGACTTTGTTCATACAGCAGACAGCGACCAAAGTCAAATGTAAAATTACATCAGTAAATAATAAAAACAGAAAACATGCACTGGGAGAAATGACACAGTAAATCAAATCAATGTAAAGCTGGAACGAAACAAAAAATGTGTTTTATGGAATAAAATATTTATAAGACATATTGTGAATAAACCCTGCGGTGAACTCAGGAGTCAGCGCTGCTGTGTTTCTTTATAAAAATAAAAATCTCGGTTTTTATGAGCTGTAAAGTTATTCACCAGCATGTTTTAGTCGGTGATTGATTTCATTTTTATTGCACCAACATGTATGTGCATGTGTTTGCTGCATTTTTTAAATCTTTTTTTTTTTACCTTGAATTTCATTTTTATCCGGATTCTACTGATCTCTATATTCTATTATATTTCAAAAAGCTCAACGCTTTTTTGTGGAGAAGCGGGACAACTACAAGTCCCACAATGCCCTCCGCACTGTGACGTGACACGGAGAGGAGGAGCGTGCATATCGTTTGTGCCTATATTTTATTTAGCGGTTTATTTATTTATTTATTTATTTTATTTTCCGTCTCTGTCCGAGGCTGAAGCAGCGCGAGCTCTGCGGTCACCTGCATGATGTCATCAATGCGGGGTTAAACGTGCCGCGAGCCACCGGCCGATTCGCGACACTGAACCGAATCACGCGCACCACCGCAGCCTCGCGCCACACAATAGAGTCGCAGAACAATAGCCGCGCGCGGCGCTGCTTTTCCAGCCTACGACGGCGAACGGGCCTAGTTCGTGCGGAGGAGTATCACCGGGAACGCGTTGAAAGCGCCGCGCTGCGGCGAGAACGGGCCGTTGTGTGTATTTTGGAGCCCCTCGGGAGGAAGAGCCGCGGAGCACGCGGAACGCGCTGCGGGGGGAGAGCGAGGCGGACCGAGTGCAGAGAGAGGCGGACAGAGAGGGGAGTGAATGGGCACGACTGCGCCCTCCGCCTCACCGATATCCATCCGTTCTCTACCGACACAGTTAGACCACCGCGGTCCTTCAGGCAGGCCAGCCTGGAGAACCGGAGCCAGCGGCAGCCAGCGGGATGGCGTGCGCATGAAGCAGCGGCGGGCGAAGAAACAAGGAAGCGGACGGCTAGCTGCGCTCAGCACGGGCTAACGTGGGCTGATTGTTGGCGGATACCGATTCTAATGAGCGACCCAGGAGCATGCGAGCTGATTCAGAGAGGTGAGCGGGGAAGGGTTCGTGAGGGTCGGGTTTGTTCACCTACACCTGCCCGGCAGCTAGCTGCGGAGCGGGGACAGCGTGAAAGAGGAAGCTGCTGCAGGGGGCGGACGGGCTGCTAGCGTGCTAGCGTGTTAGCACGCCTAACGTTAATGTTTTAGGAGAGGCTGGGGAAGGGAAGGGGGGCTGCCCTCCTACATGTGATATTAGGTAATTAACAGGGCAGACGGTGTGTACAGGTGTGTGGTCCGGGCAGGTATGCCCAGGCTGGCTGTAGGTGACTGTGACGGGATAGCTGCTAGCTGTTAGCGGTTAGTCTCCAAACGGTGCCAGATGCGCATCTTCATTATTATTGCTGTTAGCTGCTGTTAGCTACAGCCAGCCTCTGTTTCCGTCACATGTTTAATTAGAAAATCGCGTTTCAGGTGATGTTCTCATACAGGTGTTTCTGTGGGCTCGTGCTGGCCTGGAAGGAGGAAGCTGGTGAAAACGATCCTGGGATGTTAGCTTCACACAGGAAGCAGGATTGCTTCACCCTCTCCGTTTTCATTCTTTAATGTCAGGAATATTATTCCCTTGATTACTGACAAGCACTGTGAGACTACAGCAGCCGCACGAATACCCAGAAAATACAATAAATATTATAAGTAACGTGAAAGAACCAGAGTGAAGCTTCAGAGCATGCTCAGCAGCCCGTACAACCAAAACACCTGGATTTAAAAAACACCTGGATTTGGACCAGATAATGAAGCAGATCCGGTCTGTTAGTGATTTCAGTATGTCGAGGTCCATCTAACAGGTTTAAATAATAATGTAGAATCTTTAAGCATGTGGCTGCTCTGCAGAGGACTGCTTGCTGTTTTTGGTTCTTTGACTTTGCATCTTTTTTGGAATAACACTGTGTCCCTGTTGGATTTATGCAACTGTAAACCTGCAAAGATGCACTGATACGGCTCTACACTCTCCCCCTCAAACTCCAGGAAGTTCTTGTCTCACTGGAACAAAATAAAGTGTCTGCAGGTGAGCTGCTGTGCACTCGCCTTTGCCTGATGGGAAAGCAGGTGCAGCAGATTTATATAAAACCGGTTTTGTTGAGTCCTTTCACTGCTCATACCGAGGCCGCTCACCATCAGCTTTGAGGGGGACTCTAGTGTCTGATTAGAGTTGTTGTGAGGAGCGTGTTCTTGGTCTCGCCGCAGTGAACTTTGAACTCTGACTCTAGAAAGTTTTATAGTTTTTATCAACAAACTGAACAGTTTGAAGTCGAGGATGAAGAGAACATAGCCTGAGACTTCTAGATGTTTACAGCTTATTTGTAACACACTCCAGTCCACAGGAAGTGGCCTCGGCACTGCTGACACAAGTGCTTGCAGCAGACCCTGAACTGATCATCGTTTACACAGAGGAAGCTTTTGAAAGTAATTATCAGTTGGAGCAAATGTGTGTTTTAATGCTCTGCAGCCACTTTTTGTGTGAATGGGTTTATACAATAAAATATCAAATTAATGTCACTTTAACAAAGTGTAAAGCTGAAAAGTTGTTTTAAAAATAATAAAGGTACAGAGATCAATCGCGTCTGTCCACACAGTGAACCGTTGTTAACATCGACCACATAAGTGATGATTAGTTAATCGAGCAGCGCCGCGAGGCTGCTGCGAACAGCATGTCAGCTGCATGTTGGCATTTTGGTTTTATTCTTACAAAATGTTTTTTGTGCCACGTGAGAAAAGGAAAAATCCCAACAACAGCCAACGGCTCCTTCTGGTTATCGATCAGCTGAACCTGATCAGTAGTCAGTATCAGTCAGGAGGAGAGGGAGGCGTGTTCATCAGGTTTAAACTGCGTTGAATTGGCTCCGTAACCTGACGGGCGCCTTCTTACAGAGTGACTGTGATTGGCCGTTGAGGTCTGCCACTTCCCATCTGGCTGCTTCTGCTGCCATGTTTCGAGTCAGCTGGAGGGCCAACTCGTGTTTGGGTGGTGAAACTGCAGGGCGGTGCGGGTGGAGCACGCACATGCATAAGTGGTGGCTGTGGTGGGCGGCTGCGCCGCAGATTCAACACTGAGTGTGAGCTTTACCCCGTGCTGTGCGAAAGTCTTGAGTCACCCCTCATTAATCTGCTTCCGGGCAGCCAGACCTTGTTGTACCTTCTAAAGTGCTCTTGAGCATTAGTCGCCCAGTTTCTGAAGTTGTTCTGTGGACACTGACTGCTTTTCCACTCCATTCCTCGTACCTGACCGTTTCCTGTGAAGCACGGTGGAAGTTCTGTCATGGGTTGAGCTCATTTCCAGCGTGAGACACTGCCAGTCCAGGGAAAGCACACCTGGATGGGCCTCGTCAGAGCCCGGACCTGCAGTGTGAGGTCATCCTGACAGAACACAGGCAGAAACATCCAAAAACTAATAAACATTCAAATACTGAAAACTCAGAGGGTGTTTTAAACCAGTCGTATTCAAATCACCAGTTAATTACATGACTTTGTGGGTCCTTATGATGTGAAAAATGTTTTTCCTTTTGTTGAACATCAGACGAGTTTCTGCTGATTGAATTTTCATTTTGTGAGATGCACATTCTGTTCCAGCCGTTTAAACGTCTTCAACAACACGTACGACGACTTCAGTCCACCTGTAACGTTTCAGAAATAAAACTAAGTGTTTGTTGGATTTAAAAAAGCGTCGTGATGAGTCCAGATGTTTGATCAGCACATTATTGGTGTGATGATGTCATTAAAAGGCCCTGACAGCACAAACATAGTTCAGAGGTCCAGTTCAGGTGAAGCTAGCAGACAGCCTGTCAGTCAAAGAGACCACGCCCCTAATAATGCAAACTTTTAGCCTTAATACGACTGAAACAGGTGAGTTAGAAACAGGTGTTGTGAGGGGTTTATCTACATGCTGTAAACGTCTTTACCTCCACAGGGATCGTCTGCTGCTGTCCCACATGCTCATATCTCTGTCCTCTCGCTCTCTCTGGTTCCAGCTGACTTGTTCGGTGATGTCGGGCAGTAAGGCGCTGGGCGGGGGGGCCGGCGGTGGGGCGAGGCGCAGGCGGACGCGGTGCCGGCGCTGCCAGGCCTGCATGAGGACGGAGTGCGGCGAGTGTCACTTCTGCAAAGACATGAAGAAGTTTGGCGGACCCGGCCGCATGAAGCAGTCCTGCCTCCTGAGACAGTGCACGGCGGTGAGACGCACACACGACACGGCAGCAGACGCCGAGACTGTAACCTAAACATGAAGCACACTGGCCTTAAAATGAACTGAGGTTAAAAATACATTACAGATCCTCATTGTTAGACTCTACACAGCAGCTTTGCATGATTCGGTTCAGAATCAGTCTTCTTTGTCTGACCTACATCCCTCGGAAAGCTCTTACACAGAGCTCTTGTTTAACCCTGACAGTGTTTGTGTAATAGTCACAGTGAAGTGGACATGCTTCTGTCACACGGTCGCCGTTGGCTGATGTTTGCTGCGTGCCGTCCAGCAAAAACCTGCCGAGAAAGCAGGAATGTGTGCGGCTCGCAGACTGAAGGGTGACCTGTGCTTTTAGCTTTGGCTCATCCAGCCCAAACATGTCAGTAACGCGTGACCTACGCAAACCAGCAGGAGACACGTCAGATCTCGCAGGGCTCACTCAGCGGTCCTCGCCACTGCTGGCACACCGGCCAGCGAGAAAGCCCCTCCCACAGACTGTCAGATCAGGTTCAGTTCGTCTGCAGGTACGCCTCCGCGGTCGGACCTCAGGCTCTGTACACTCAGGTATCTCTGTGGCTTCAACTGATAAGAAGCAATGATTGATGAATATTATGCCCTTTGACCTCTGAAGCCTTCAGCTGGAGTCAAACCCAGCTCAGCGGTTTGCTTTCAGGACAAAGTGTCAGAAGCATGTGACTGAGCAGATCACGGAGGCGTGTTAGCTGCAGCGTACATGCAGCGCTCCATCATCCACAAACATTCAGCTCAAAAATCACACTGCAGGAACCCGTCCACTTATTTATGCTCAGATCTGCAGTCTGAGTGAAACAGGTTTCCATGTCAACACGGTCCTCCATTACACCTGCTGCTGTCCCTGACGGCAGGAACGCGACCCATGCACAGGTGTGTGCGTGCTGAAGATGTGCTGTATTCTTCTTTCTGTGTGTCGATTCTTCAAATGGCATCAGCCAAGAGCCCAGCGGGCGACGATGCTGGGTTTCCGTGGCAACCAGTGATGGTTGCTGGCACTGTGAGTGAGAGCGAGTTGGCTTTGATCCATTGCCATTTCACAGAGATGCTTAAAACACACACAGTGAGACGGTCTACGGCTCACATCGATGGAGATTTATTTATCTGTTGTTGGAGCTTTGTGTGGAGGAGGAGGGTGCAGGTTAGGATGATGCTCCTTGCTTTGCTCCCTCAGCAGGAGCAGAGACGCCCCCTGGTGTCTGCTGAGAGGATGAGGAGCAGCAGCTGCAGGTGTTCTGAGTGCTGCTGCCTCACTGAGGTCGAGCAGTGACCTGGCGACCTGCAGCTCATCGCCTCTTTAAGTCATCGCGAGCCGTTTGAGGCCTCAGACAGCAGGTTTGGGTCTGCGTGGGTGTTGGGGGGTCGACCACCCTCAGTGGGTTCGATGTGTGAATCTGGTGTTTCTGAGTACATGAAACATGAAAATAAAACCGGATCATGCGTCTGTGCTGTTGACCTTTTGGTGACCTGCTCGACTTTTAAAAGGTTGATGGGTGCGTGATCATGTTTTTTAAAAACGCAAAATGCAGCCAAGCGTCACTGCTCGACTAACGAGGTGAGATTGTAGAAACACACTCGGCTTCTGTTTGGATGCCAACAGCACAGGTTACAGACCCAAACACAGCAGAGCTCCACGATTCTGCGCTCGGATCAATAACCGCACAGTGTTGGAGGCCAGAGCAGCCAGATGAACGCCCCGAGGGGAACGGCCCACCTGCAGGATGTGCAGGAGAAGAACTCTTGATCGATCGATCAGATCCCGACTGAGCCCTGAGCAGGTCAGGAGGGTCTTAAAGTCACAGGAAGGAGTCCGCCCCTCACCTGTGGGCCTGATCGACCTGCTCTGAGATCCAGATGTTTCTCTGAGAGATGTTCAGTCCTACTGTTTGATTAGGAAGCAGGAGTAGACATTAGCGCTCTAAAGGTTTCAGCTTTGTGTGGTTCATTCAGGTACTCGCCTCCCGCAACATCTACATCCACATCTTTAACTGTCAGCACGTTTCCGTTTTTACCCCCCTGTACACGTCTCACCTGTCTGTCTCACCTGTCTGTCTCACCTGTCTGTCTCACCTGTCTGTCTCACCTGTCTGTAGCCGGTGTTGCCTCACACAGCCGTGTGCTTTGCGTGTGGAGAGGCGGGGAAGGAGGACACGGTGGACTCAGAGGACGAGAAGTTCAGCCTCTCGCTGATGGAGTGCACCATCTGCAACGAGATCATCCACCCCAGCTGCCTCAAGGTCAGTTTGCCTGGAAAGGGCTTTTATTTTGAAATGCCGGTTTGTTTCCTGTGAATGAAAGTTTAATGATGCTGAGGAAAAACTGGGTCGATGCAGCAGAGCTCTCAGAGCTGTGAACGAGGACGGAGATCTGTGCTCAACACAGAGACTGACTCGGATCCAGATGTTTGGCACTCGGGCTGCACATCATCAGCGTGCAAACACGCAGCATGCTGCTGGAGTGCAGACACGGGGCTTCATTCTGGCTTCTTACTGTCCTGAAAACAAAAACCTGGAAACGATCGCTCCTCATTTTATCTTTTGGTTTCACTCGGCTCGCCCTCTGTGGCTGCTGTAAGGCCTGAGATTGATGGCCTTTCATCTGTGTGCGCGGCAGCATTAATCCACACTAACAAACCAAACAGAGGTGCTCCTCCTTGGTTTCAGGGAGCTGCTGTCACACACTTCCTGACTGAGAGCGAGTCCACTGAAAGCAGCAGTGACTCAGCAAAGTTTAATCTGTGTAACCTTGTAAGTGTTCAGCAGCTGCACACTGGTCACATGATCAGGTTAAATACATTCAAATAGCAAGCTAACGTTCCTTGGCTCGACCAGGACGTGAGTAACATGTGGCGCTCATAAATGTGCCTATAACAGTGTAATTCCAAAAACTCATTAAATGAATGATCAATAATCTGTCAGAGCCACCGACATCTTAAATGTCACATGACGGTGTCTGACGGCCACAGACAGGGAAACACTCCGGGCGGATCTGGTCCATACGGGGTACGGTCTGAATTTGTTTTTGGCCGACCAAGTTTGTCCAGCAGCAGCCACCGTAGCTCTGGTTACGCTGGAATTGGGAGAAGAAAACAGACCTCAGCTCTCTGAGTCGGCTGACGTGGTGAAAAATTAGTTGCTGTAACTTCAAACTGAGAATATTTCCTCGCAGCGGCTCCATCACATGACCCGCAGTCGTGTCGAGCTGCTAGCATCTCCTCCTCTGCAGTCACTCGCTGCTCTTCCTGATGTTTCCAGATGTGCTGATGTGTGCTGCCTTTTGTCCTCAGATGGGCAAAGCTGAAGGAATCATCAACGACGAGATCCCGAACTGCTGGGAGTGTCCGAAGTGCCACAAGGAGGGCAAAACCAGTAAGGTGAGAGTGGGACCAGTACAGGGGACCGGTTCGGGGCAGCGGTGCGCTCGGATAGACTGAACCCTGCTTCTGTTTGTGTGCAGGACCAGGCGGACGGCTCAGGCAAACGCAGGCTGGATAATGGTGAGGTGGGCCGGTGGAAGCTCACCGATGACCCGCCTCCTAAAAAGAAAGCCCCACCCACCTCAGAGGAGGGCGGGCACAAGAGGAAAAAGGAGAAGGAGCTGCCTGCGGACAGCGGGCCCAAGAAGAAGGTGACCTTAAAGTCAGATTGAACGAGTCACAGAGTTGATTATAGATTATTGATCGGTGTTTAATGTGCTCAGATTTAAGACTGGAGGAGGAGCCAGTTCACAGCTCCCTCTCCAAACCGCTGTTAATGACACTGATGTTATCGATCTGCTTCCTGTTTGTTCCTCAGATGAAAGGAGGCCACGAAAAACGCCTGAAAAAGGTAAGACGTCCACCGCTAACCCACGTGATGTCCTCGAGCTCGGTTACCGCCCGCTTTCTCTGACGTGTCGTCTTTTCTCTCGTCAGAAACCCAAACAGGAGGCGGCAGAGTCCAATGGCCCCTCCTCCTCTGGGGGCGGAGCCTCAGGGGTGCAGGGTTCCTCCACGTCATCTTCCTCACAGCCCGGAGGAGGCGGTGGTGTGGGCGGGACGTCGAGCGCCGACCAGCGTTCCCATCACAGAGAGAAACTGGAACGATTCAAGAGGATGTGCATGCTGGAGCGCCGGCCCTCCTCGTCCTCGTCCTCGTCCTCCAGCTCAGAGTCTGACTCGGAGTCTGACTCCGACGACTCCCTGAGGGGGGAGCAGGGGAGAGTGTCTTCCCCGTCATCGTCCTCGCCAGCCCCACTCCCTCCTGTCGTCTACAGCAACAGCAGCGGCGGCAGTCGGGCGGAGCGGGAGAGAAGGGAGAGGGAGCGGCGTCTGGCCGAGCTCGGCTTCAGTGCCAGCGAGGAGTCGGAGGGGGAGGGAGGGAGGGGCGAGGAGGACGAGCGGGAGGACGAGCAGGCCGGGGGAGACAAGTCCCGTCGGAGAGGGGAGGCGGGGCTGTCTCAGAGGGGACGCAAAGGTGGGCTGATGGATGGAGAGGATGACGACACGCCCACTTTGGACAGGACCAGGAAAAACTCCGCCTCCCTGCCCCCGCCCTCACCGCTGTCCTCCAGTCAGATGGCTCCGTCCTCGCAGCATGACAGCTTCACCGGGAAGCAGCGCAGCAACGGGCAGGAGGCGCGCAACGGCCGGACACGTGGAGGCACGGGGGGAGGAGGGGGCGGGGAGAAGGAGAACGCGAGCGGAGCTCTGACCAATCACAGACACGGCGGGGGCGGAGCGGGTGGGACCAAAGGTAGCGGCAACCGTGGCAACAAGATCCGAAACAACAAGAACCAGACGTCTAGAAACAGCACCTCCTCCTCCTCCTCAATCCCCACCTCCAACGGCGGGGGGGGCGGGGCCAGCGGACTCATGATGTCAGCCATGGCGGCGTCGCCCTGCTCGCAGCCGTCCCGCCTCGGCCCTCGCTCTCAGATGATGAAGCGCAGCCCGCCGGCCGTACCCTCGCCTCCCCGCCCCGTGCAGATGGAGAGGCACCTGGTGCGTCCCCCGCCGGCGTGCCCTGAGCCCAGCTGCCTGCCGCTGGACTCTGGCGCTGCCCACATCATGACACGGGACGTGTGGCTGCGAGTCTTCACCTTCCTGAGTCACAGAGAGCTCTGCGTCTGCATGAGGGTCTGCCGCACCTGGAGCCGCTGGTCAGTCGCTGTGAGGTCACGGGTGCAAGGGGGCGGGGTCTCGTACGATGGCCTATCAGAGTCGCTGCAGCTTCGGCTGAAGAGCCGAGCACGCCCCTTCTGCTGATTGGGTTTAAAACTTTGTTATTGGCTGGTTTTAATAATTATGAGGCTTCTGCAGGTCCTCAAAGGGTTAAAAAAACTAATAACAATAAAATAAACGCTGTAAGAATAAGAAGCGTCCGACGAGTCGGGCAAACCGCCAACACGACAGCGTGTTAGCCGACCCAGCAGGAGGTATGTCGGCGCCTCGACCTCCGCCTTTGTTGCAGCATTCGTGTCGCATACTCACTATGTCATGGGACCCTCGGCCGTGTTGCTATGACGACAGCCACACACATTAGGTGGTACTCGACAGGGAGGGTTTTAATCATCGATTAAAATGATTCTGGATAACGTGATATCGATTCATTCAAATCCTGAATCGATTTTTAAATATGAATTTATTTTGCTCGAAACGCCAGAACCTCCGGTTAAACCTCACAAAACTTCAACAACCACCAAAGATTAAAACAGTAACTGAGAGCAGGAACAGGCTTCTGCACAGAGACGTGAACACAAAGCTCGACCCGCCGACGCATCAGGATCAGTGAGCTGTGACTTTCTCACCGACGGCACGGACACGGTCGGGGCTGAAAGCCGACAGCTCGCTGATGTGTCGGCGGGTCGAGCTTTGTGTTCACGCCCTTTTTGCGCTGATTCTGAAGCTGAAGGTTTGATCTCTCTCCAAACAACATTGATCCAAACTACGCTTCACATAAACATCGTCATGGATTCACTTCGTTTTTGATGTACTGCAGAATATTTTTATAAAATCCAGACCAGGAAAATCTGCTTCATGTTTTTCTGTTTTATCTTCAGCTGCTTTGACACAAAGGCCTCTGCTGTGACGCTCACAGATACAAAAATATGTAAATGTACTGATTTGAATTATATTTCTGACTGTCTGAGGCAAAATTTCCCAGATTTAAATCGAATTGAATCGAATCGATTCTAGAAATCGGTGACGATACCCAGCCCTAGTACTCCAGTAGGGGGGCTACAGTTGCACTTTTACGAGACAAAAGTGGACTCGCTTCGATCAGAGCTGGAGAACAGCGGTAGGTCCGAGTTCATCCTGTCTGGGTTGGATTTCCAAGTCGATGCGTCTCGCTGTACACGTGACCTGTGCTTCTGCATCGTAGCTTACGCAATAAACGGAGCCCCGTTTGAATCCCACGCTGCAACCTTCCACCTAACCTGACGTGAGCCTCGCGGGTAACTACACGTTGGGTCGACATATACCGCCGTATCTAGTGGCGTGGAAGGCTGCGGTGCGGGGACTAAAGGAGTTTGCTGACCTCAGTGTAACCCCCACGGTCGTCAGCCCTGCGGACTAAAGCTGTGGTCTCTCCCTCCCCCAGGTGCTGCGATAAGAGGCTGTGGACTCAGATCGACCTGAGCCGGCAGCGCTCCATCACCCCCCCCATGCTGAGCGGCATCATCCGCCGGCAGCCCGTCTCCCTCAACCTTGGCTACACCAACATCTCCAAGAAACAGCTGATGTGGCTCATCAACCGCCTGCAAGGTGACGGTGCCGCCACCTCCACCCGCTGCACACACACACACATTACCCCCACTCGCAACACGAAGACTGAAGCGCGAGGGGAACTTGAATCATAAAAACGCTTTGATTCTGATAATTGCTGTGGATCCCCATCTGACCGAATCAACTTCGTATTCATGCGCTCACGCTGTGGGGCGGCAGATGGAGCCGAATCTGAAGGCTTGTTTTCAAGGCCTCGCACGGGTGTAGCTCACCTGCCCACACCCTGCTATAAGTTGCCGTGGTTTTCATTTTTTCACCTGATGGTGTAAGGCTTATTGGCCAAACCAGGTCACATGATACTCTTGAAACCTCCCACTGGAGCCGTTTCCCTCCTTCCTGTGAGGCAGCGAGTGGCTCCACCTCTCACCTGCGAGTCTCACCTGTGTCTTCTGTCCCGCTCAGGTCTGCTGGAGCTGAATGTGTCGGGCTGCCCGTGGGCGGCGGTCTCCGCTCTGTGTCAGGCCGTGTGCCCCTGCCTGAAGCTGCTGGACCTCAGCAGAGTTGAGGACCTCAAAGACTCTCACCTGAGAGAGCTGCTGGCGCCCCCACCTGATACCAGGACAGGTGAGACACCCACATCGGAACACCTCCGCCTTCACAAAGGCTCTGAGGTTATCACGTGTTTGATTCTCTGCTCTGATTGGGCCTGCAGCCCACGGGGAAACCAGAGCGGGGCGTTTCCAGAATGTGACAGAGCTGCGTTTGGCGGGTTTGGACCTGACGGACGCGTCGTCCCGCCTACTGATGCGTTACGTTCCTCACCTGGCCAAGTTGGACCTGAGCCACTGCGGGAACATCACCGACCAGACGGTGCACACGCTCACCTCCCACATCTCCCCCCTGAGAGAGAGCCTCACCCACATCAACCTGGCAGGTAAGCGACGCCTGAGCCTCACCGTTGTCCTGCTCCACCTGTGCCGCTGCTCCGCCTCACCCGTCTGTGTGTTTTCTAGGTTGTGTTAAGGTGACGGAGCAGTCCATCCCGCTGCTGCGCCGCTGCACCTCCCTGCAGACGGTCGACCTGCGCTCCTGCTCGCTCCTGTCCTCTGAGACCGGACAGCTGCTCTCCTTCCCCTCCAATGCCGCCTCCTCCTCATCTTCTTCCTCTGCTACCACCACCACCAGTGTCGCCGCTACATCCTCCTCCACGCCTGCCGCCTCCTCCTCCTGTCCTGCTGAAGACAGAACGCTGCTAAAGAACAGCTAAAGTCCGCCTTCATGTTATGTGACACTCAAGTCCAGGTGGCCTGTGAGCCCGGCCTCGCTCCTCATTACACTACAGACAGGTGAGGAGGAGGAGGAGGAGTTGTGCAGCACTGCTCCTGACGCTGGAAGAGGAGGAGGGATGTATTTTGGGAAAAAGTTGTTGGTTATAGTTAAAAATAGAAACCCTGAGCATGTATATATTTGTTCTCTGTATAATTTGGGTGTGTGTATATATCTGTAGGTTACTGTAAATGACCCCTGACCTTTGAACCATCATCCCACACCTCCTTAAACTCCCCCATCTCCTTCCTTTCCGTCCTTCCACCCTGCGACCGATCATCACGCCGGTCAGCTGCTCGAACTCGTCGAGCGAACGCGCCGCACTCCGTCTGTGCAGGTCAAGCTTTCCCTCTGCTTCCTGTCTCACAGCATCGTCCGCCTTTTTCTCGTTTCTCACCTGAAGCGTCACTGACCTCACACTACACTTTCCATGTCCTCCTCTGCACAGACCACAAATGCATCGACCGTCAAAGTTCGTTCAGACTGACCTTTACTGAACTTGGTTTATTTAACGTGACGAACTCGTCACATCTCAGACGCTCGCGCTGCCAAGTGACTCAAATTCAGGCAGAAACCATCAATCGACTGTTTCTGGCACCTCTTGTGGTTTCTCTCTCCAAAAGTTTGCCGTGATTTGAGTAAAGACTTAAACATGCTCACAGCAGGTCATCGCTGATTTAGTTTTGTTTTCTCTGTTTGACCTCTGACCTCACCGATGACTCCCCTGTAAATACAAACAGCTGAGTGCGTATGAATCGATTAATTGCCCAAAAGATCAGAAAGAGTCACTGGAAAAACTTTAGTTTGGTTTGGTCCAGCACGCCGTCCACGACTCGGACGTCACCGTGACCGACCGACATCGGGAAGGAACCAGAGGGAAAATGGCGAGGGATGGATTCCTGCTGACGGGTCGCTCGTATTGGGTCGTTCATGTAGGCGAACCTTGAGTGTCGTTTTCGTAACACTGATTTCTTCTGCTGCTGCTCTGCAGCTTGCTTCAGGCAGCACAGGCACGTTTTCTATTGTGGAGCCCATTTCTTTTAACGAGACCATGATGAATGTACTACAAACACCACGATGGGGCAGAGGTCCGTGTTTGCTGGGCTCAGTTTAACCTGCCGTCTGAGCAGGCTGTGGAAGCGTGTTCATAAAACACAAGTGACAGACCAAAAGACCGCCGCACCACCCGAGGTGACTCGATTTCAGACTCAAATCGTGCTGTCAGAGTCCCATCACCGGCCAAAACATTGGCGCCAACTTCCTGTTACTCCCCGGCAGGTCCTCAAAGTTCCTAAACCGTGACGAAAGCTTCTGCAGTCAAAACGGAGGCGTGGCTTCCCTTAGCGCGCAGGCGACCTCCATCAGCTGACGACATAAGGACAGCCGTGTCTTAGCTGCTTTAAATGTACCGACGCGGTCCACAAGGGGCCGTCCTTCAGCTCCTAATATTTGATGGTCCGCTCCGAGACCTCATCTTAGGTCACCCCGCAAACAACAGCTGTGGAAGAACGTGAAGGTGAAGCAGGGATCAGTGCTGATTTAAAAACCTCTCTGTAGCTCCGCCCGCTCAATCAGTCGCATGCCGCTGAGACTGGTGGGAGGCGGAGCAAGGCTAGTCTCCCCACGCTTCCGGTGCTCGTGCCGAGCTAGGCTGCAAACTTCACATGCGGTACTATTAAAGCATCGCAGTCTTTGTTTCCTGTATCGCAGGTGACCTTTGGCCATGTGTGGGGTGTGTTCAGGTGTTCCTCCTCCCTCTGAGCGTGTGCGTGATCCGACTGATCACGCTGTTTGAAACTGAGCCTCAATCATCCCCCTTTGATTTTATACCCTGTGCCCATCACCTTCGATCAGCTTGCTCTGATCAATCATCAGTTTTCTCAGGAGTATTTGTTGTCTTTGATTTTCTGTTTTCTATTTATTTTGTGCCACAGCAGCGCTTCCATCTGCTCCAATCGGAGACATTCCTGTTTTTGGCTGCTCGCGCTCCATTTGATCAGCTTCTGTCGTTGCATCGTTCAGATTACTTTGAGAAATACGAATCTGTTTGCTGAAGAAACCTATTTCTGCCAGGAAAAGAAAAACATGGATGAACAGTCCAAAATCGAGTTCGCGGAAGTACGTCTGGACTTGTTTTATAAATCGTGTGTGTGTGTGTGTGTGTGAGATCTTGCTTTTGTTTTAAGAATCTTAATTTAGCATAGACTTATTTTATCATATCCCTAATTTTTCTTGTGATTTGCCATCAGTTGATCTTGTTTCTTGTTGTGTTCTTGACTTGTCTCAGGTTTTTTCTTAATTTTAGTCACTCTGTAGTTGCGACTGAGAAAATCAAGATGATGACTTTGGGTCTTAAGTTGTTTCATTCATGAAGCGTTTGTTTTCTTGGCTTAAATGGGCTTCGGTTGTTTCTTGTGGGCGTCAGTTATGAAAAAGCATTCAGTTGTATTTGAGCAAAGGTTTTTGTTTGTTTGTTTTTTTTTCCCCGGTGTTTCCATGGATAAAAGCAGGGAATTTCAATTATAAAGTCGCACAGATGTTTCATAAATCACGTCCAGATACTCGGCTGTAAATGTTGGGTTTATTTTTTCTTAATGTATGTGAACTGCCTGAGTTTCCTTTGGGTGGAGGGTGGTGTTAAAAATGTTTTTTTTTTTTAAATTTTTTATTATAATGTTTGTATTTTAAGATGTACACGTCTGCGACACATCAAATGGTCGATCAAATCACAGCGGTTTTAATGACTAAAACTTACTTTTCAGGGTAGACTAGAATAAATGGATTGCCTTGAACCAGCTGGCAAGTTGGTTAGCTGCAGTCAGTGCTGCTTTACCTCCGCTGCTCAAATATCACTCAAACTATTAAAACTAGTGGACAACAATGTCAAATTAGTGAAAACGTCCTCTAGCTAGCCCACATTAGCGACAATACCCTTTTTAATTTAGGGATTTATTGTTGGTAGTCAGCTAACATGCTAACACTAGCTCTTTAAGGATTAAAAATAAAAACTAAAGAATAATTGAGTAAAGTGCATGGAGCAAAATAGCTAATAATATAACGTTGGAACTTACATGAGAATCTAGACCGGAATATTAAAAACAGGGCAGGAAATAATTTGTCAAGTTAATTTATAACTGCTAAAGATAACAGTATTAGTTTTAGCTAGCTAAATTATTACAGTATAAACTAAAAAAAACAAACATACTTTTTAAGGGAGATTTTTATTTATCAATAAGCTAACAAGCTAATTCTGTTTAATTTTAGCTTTGAAACTTGTCAGGAAAATTCCAAAACAAGCAGGAAAAGGGTCTGATTTATCAGGCTAGCTGAAGGTAACTGCAAAGGCTGTAGAGGTTCAGGGTTGGCTGGCTAAGAAGACCCGATACTGTTAAAGTTTAAAAAAAGAAAATGAGCGGGAAAATGGCTACGTTCTTTAGGCTAGCTCAGACGACCTAAAATACCCAGAGGTTTAGCTAACATTGATTCAGAACTTTCAGAATAAACATGGAGGAAAAAATTAAACAGGTCTACAAGTTTGTTTGTTTGTTTGTTTGTTTGTTGGTTGTTGTTGTTTTGTTTTGTTTTTTTTCCACATGATTACATTTTCAAGCTAATTGGTGTTAGCTTGTTGGTTTAGAATAAAGTGTTCACATATTTCTGGGGACATGATCATAACTGTTTACTGTCTGCTATTAGTCATTTTCTGCTGTTTGTTTTAAATATGTTAACCGTTACCTGTGTTCAATTCTTAGGAAAAAAATGCAGCGTCAGCACCTTCTGTTAGTTGGTATGAGTGAATATTGCAGCGCTGCAGCCGAGGTATCGCAGTGTTTCCTGCAGCAGTGCGTTGACTTTGGGCTGCTACCAGCTGTGAAATAAAAGTATTATGGGTAAATTTGAAATCGCCTGTGACGCCTTGTTGTGCCATAAACGCATCAGATCAACTGTCAGCATGTGAATGGGTCATTTTGTTTTTTTAATCTTTTATTTTTTTTTCTATTTGTTGAGTTGTTTTCGTTTGTTTATTTGTTTGTTCCGTGAGGGTGGTGTGCTCTCTGCCGCTTCAGCTAGCAACAAATGAGGAGGTCAAATGTGATTGGACGATAATTGCTAAGTAATGAAAACTGTTTTCCAGTCGGACACCTGCGCTCTCCTCGGGATCTTAGTAAAAACTGAATCATGTGGTGTTTGATGTCTTTTTTTTGTTTTTGTTTTGTTTTTTTAAAGATGCACTGGATCATCATCTTCATCCTCACCTTTTGCCAAATGTAGTTTTTGTTGTGAAAAGGGGCATTTTATCCTGTTTTCCCTCTGTTGGGTTCTTTTTATACTTTGTCCATGACTCTTCCATTGTGTTGATGTTTTAAAAAAAAAAAAAGAGGAAGATGTTGGAACAAACGGTAAATAGACACAAAAAGACCAACTCCAGGCAGCTACGTATGAGTGACTACTGTAAAATGACTAATAAAGAAGCAATGGGTTTGTTTTTCAGCTGCGTGTCTTTATTCAGCTCGACGTGTTTCATTCAGACAGACCTACGTCACTTCACCTGCGCTCACCTGGCCGTGGCCTCTCTCCTCTAGTTATATATTTAAAACATCTATGAAGCACTTTTCTCAAAGTCCTAAAACAGGTCAACACGGAGTCAGACACACAATCATAAATGTGTCAATATGAATGTCTGCAGCTGTTTTTAGTAAAAACCTCTGAATCAAAGTCGAGGAGTGACACCCAGCCTCTCTCTCTCATATGTAAAATTTAAGCGCAGAACATTCTAAATATCCTGTCACTGACTGGAGCAGATTGGGATGAACGCAGGTTTTCTGGGTTTCCGGCTCATGCTCGAGTTCTCCAACATCGTGGCAGAATGTGTGACTCGGGTGTGATCTGTAACCCTCCTGCAGCCCTCCTCACCAGAGCCATGTCTACAGCTGTCCATCACCCATCAGTGCGAGTCCAACTTATACTGGCAGCTGCAGGTCGGCCTGATGATGTGTCCATGCAGTGAGGTGATAGCTCCACCAGGGCCACAGAGCGCTGTCACAGTTCAGTTTTATTCATGTCGCTCCGAGTCATCACGGCGGTGTCCTGAGACCTTTTAATCGCGCCTGGTTTCAGAACTCTGAGATGATGATGGAGATGCTCGAGGCTTCCAGACAGGACCGACTAACGACAAGAGTCCGATCTCTCCTTCAGGAAGTCCTTTCCTTCAGCAGCACTTCCTGCTGCCCTCTGCGTGTTTGACCTGAACGATCACTTTCTGGTTCAGGCCTCACCACCTCCTCACAGCTCGGCCTCCCACCAGAGATGAGGAGCGGGGAGTCTAGGCAACAGAAAATAAAGTGAGCTCTCCTTTAATGGAGGCCACAGGCAGGAGGACGGAGGAGGAGCTTGAAGATCGAAAGGCTTTGACGACCTGAGGAGAAGCTGCTGACAGAACTGCTGACTTCCTGTAATTGCTTTTATACAGCGCTTTCATGTGACGTCATTGTTTATGTTTTTGTGTTTGGTGTCTTCTTCCTGTTTCACTCAGTCTGAGGACAGAAAACATGACATAGTCCTGCAGCAGGTTCACCGACACACTCACAGACACGTGAATCCAGCACCAACCAGCAGCTGGAGCGCAGAGCAGCTACAAGTACAAGTACTTAGTTACTTTCACGAGAGACTCCGTACGCCGAAAAGGTCCAAGAGGCGCGTGCTGCTGCTGCGTTCCTGTGTAGCTCGGAATCCACAGCGCCTAGAGCTTTTATTCAGTTCGTGTTGTTCAGGCTTACATTAAAAGGGATCTTTGAAGAATGATCCCTTTCTTTTAAGAAAGAAAACGTTTTCAGCTGAGCAAACTTTAACACAATGACTGCACTCAGTGTACTTTTTCCTCCAAACGTCTCATTTTGTCAGCTTTGGGCTCCATCCACCTCCCATCGGAAGGAGGCCCCGGGGCAGACCCAGGACACTCTGCAGAGATTATATGCTGGCCTGAGAACGCCTTGGTGTTCCTCCGGATAAACTGCGAGAGGGAAGTCTGGGCCTCTCTGCTTAGGCTGCAACCCCGCTCTGGATAAACGGAAAAGAGTGGATGGATGGGTTCTATTGGGGTTCGATTGAAGGCTGAAGCATATCCCAGCTACCAATTCAATTTAATGGAAAGGTATTTATAACACTAACAGCGTTTCAGCTGCATTTTAAAAGAAAATATTTTCAACTACATGAATAAATACTTAAAAAAATAAACTGTGTGATTCAAACTGCAGCAAAAATGTAATCATTCTTTTAGTGTTTTAATAACGAACATTAAAAACTAAGTAGAATAAGATATTATGTATTTGTGTAGTTTAAAAGTGATGTAATGATATCTATATTTTCAGTCATCAGCTCCTGCTCCTTTTCATGCATGGATGCAGTGTTGTTTTAATTCAAAGGAAGGTTTGTGTGTAGGAAATTAATTACTGTGGCACCATGTGTGAAAAATTACATGAAATGAAATCTCAGTGTACTGAGACAGGATGATATGGTGTCCGGCGGTCCCTGAAGGCAGCACGTTTTTTGGCGTCACTGCGTGATATCCCTCCGCGGGAGAGAAGCGCGCAGCCCTTTCCCTCCCTGTAGCACAGGATGCGAACGGGCGGCGGTGAAGCGACGAGACGTGACTCTGCGCCGACGCTGTCAACATTTCCCGCAACATCCGAGTGAAAATACGCCGAACGAAGACCGGGGAACCTCCGCCACCCGTATCACCGACTGAACCCGTCCTGTGCCCGACAACGACCGAGCTCCGTGGAAGAAATATAATCCGCTGTGGGCGCTGCGCGGCAACCGAAAGTGTCGGACTGAAGAGAGGCAGCCGGGGGAAGGAATGGAGCTCATCACGATTCTCGAAAAAACCGTCTCTCCGGGTGAGTCCCTGCATCACGCAGCGCACACAGCCGGCGGCCCGGGCCCGATGCCGAACGCCGGGCCGGGGGGTGCGGTGTTTGCGAGACGGCGGGCTGCCCGGAGCACCGGGGAAAGTTGGAAGCAGGGAGGAGGGAAACCATGCTAGCTCACTGTGCTAACCCGTTAGCGTTACGGCCTGACGCCGCTTGTGACTTAGCACTCTACCGGGCGTTTAAGCACACTTTAATGGCATTGGTAACCCTTTAGCCTGTCGACGGGAAACCAGAAGACGTTGTCATATCGCCATCACGCGGATTCGGGCCCACATAGGTCGTAATGCCGGCTGTGTGTCCCCGATCAGAAGCCGCGACCCTGCCCATGCCCGGGTTAGCCGTTAGCTTCTTCGCTAGCTCGGGCCATTCAAACTGTCGGCCGCTTTCTCGGCGTGTTCTCCTGGGTAACGCCGCTTTAGAGTCGCTGCGGGCACAGGCGAGCGCCCTGGTTGTGAGTTGACCTCTGCTCCGCTGCTTTAAGCGGAGTTGGCGCAGTTTTAGCGGCTCCGCTGTTTGCACATAAAACTTCATGCGCGTCTCTGGAAACGTGTCGGCTAGCGTTAGCCTGCTAGCACAGTGCAGGTGGCTAGCGCGCATGTTGTAGGGTCGGTGTGCTTCTCGGTACCACCGATGGCTCTCACCGGGGCGGGAGTTAAACTTTCTGAGTCTGAGGTGAATCATTAGTGCGGGACATCCACCCCGGGGCCGGGTGCTTGTGTGTGAACGTCTGGTGAACGCGTTTAACCACCGTGCGTTAGCCCGTCCGCTAACCAGCCCCCTCCTCTCTCCTCTGTCCGCAGACCGGAATGAGCTGGAGGCGGCGCAGAAGTTTCTGGAGCAGGCGGCCATAGAGAACCTGGTGAGTATGGAGGGAGAGCAGCTGGAGCTCAGGCTGCTGCAGGAGAGGAGCGGACAGGGACCGAGGACTGCTGGATCCCGCCGGCTTTTCCTCCTTCCTCCTCCCCTTCCTCCCTCTGCATTGGCACACACGCACGCACACTCTTCACATATGTGCCACAGTGAAAGCCTCCATTGGCTCCTGATATGACCGTGCCAGGGTCTGCATGCTTCAGCCACTTCAAGGTCTTCATCAGAGGGCGAAGCTGATGCTCCCACATTTCTACATACCCTTTGTGTGGTCCTGACCTTTGACCTTGCCCTCACATACTATTTAAGTACACATGCTAACTTCAACCAGAACAGGAAGTGGTTCATAGCGAGTGTCTGTGACGGTTCATAGCGAGTATAAATATGTATGTTGAGCGAGTATATCTCTGTAAACGGGCTGTCTCTGCTGGTCACATGACTGCAGCTTTCTGTGACCAGGTGTGACCGGCAGGTGCGAGCAGGTGGGTCTCTGTGAAACATCAGTGTGAGGGTCACAGCTGTTCCAGGGTTTCTGTGAGGGTTGGAGGCCGTCTCCACGGGTCTCCCTTCTTGACTATGTGGTCAGGTTTGACTGATATTCTGTAGTGAGGGTGGGGCTTGATGAGTCAGGGTGTTGCGGTTACGTGGCTTACTTGTTACTCAGGGAAATGTTTAAATGTGTTGTCAGATGTGGTGACTGGCATGTAGAACTCCAACTAAAAGGTGCAGGTGGTGGGGGAGTCGGGGTAGGGCCGGTGGGGTTTGCAGTAAAGCCGCCATGGGGCTGTGGCGGTGTAGTTTGTGACCATGTGGGCGCTGTTGTCACGCGTCACTGGGAGACCAGGTGAGCCATCCTGAGCAGCAGGTCCACCTGAGGAAATGTTTCTTCCTGTTTATACACACAGACACTCCATACGATCGTCAGCTGTGTGAGGTGATGTCATCGTCGGCGGGAACCAATAAAATCAAAGATGACTTTCTGTAGTTTCTTATTTTGTAGTTTTTGCTGTGTCAGGAAGATAAATATCAGACTCTGTGGTCAAATGGTCTCGGTGTTAGAGACAAAGGTAAGAACAGTTACCGTTTATCTCGCAGTTATAAATGAAGCCCCACCCCTTCGCTTTACAGTGTGTTGACAATAAAACTGTAAACTCGGCAGAATGTAACCCGACCGAGTCAATAACTCCTGCCAGACGCCGCCATCGTGGCCAGAAAGTCCACTGATCTGATATTTAAAACTGATTGTTCAAATCCAGATGTTTCTGCTGGATCGTGGTTTCTGCATGCTAAAGAATATCTCCACACACACACACACACACACACACACACACACACACACACACACACACACACACACACACACTGCTGTGGTTGTCTGCTCACTGCAGAGAAACAGTTAGTTGTCTGTCCAGAGAAGAATAAAAGTTCTGGTTGGAGCTGATTGAGAGCACCTGGACACCTGCAGGAGGCGTGATGCTGATGGCGTCCTGCAGACAGAAGAAACGTAGTTGGCAGTTCTTTGCTGTTTGCCTCTGTCTGCGTGTGCTACTGCCACCTTCTGGCAGGAGGAGCACGCTGCGTCTTGTCAGGTGTGAGGGGAAAAGTATTTCAGTCCAAAAATATCTTCGGTCAGCTTTCTTCTCTGGTCTGACGTCAGTTGTAGCTCGCCGTCCTTCAGCCTGAAGCAGAGCGACG